GTAATTCGACTAGGAACTCGACTAGTTTTAAGCCATGCTAGAGGCTCATATTCCTGAGCAGCATTTCACGACCCGCGACCCGCGACGCGGCGACTGTCGCGCTGCTACTCGCCGACTACTAGCCGAAAACATAATAATTTATTTAGTATGTCTCACGAAAGTTACAATACAAACTTTACTATTTTAACTAAAAATCGCGGGTTACTCACGTGAATATACTGAGAAAACTTCTACTAGTTTCGAACCACAGAAGGGTTCTTCCTCATGAGCAGCGTGTGCCGTCGACGCGATGTCGCGCAGCCTACTGGCTACTGAGTATTTAGTACGTCTCACAATAGTTATTATAAAAACATAACTTTACTATTAGTAATACAATCAAAGTTTCATTAAAGTTTTAGAGATTATAATTTATCCGAGGCGACAGGACACAGTTTATTTTCTTCGGAATTTTCGGATAGAATTATGTGCGAGGGCAAGTTGTTTTTGAAGTAAAATCTTACTCGCGCTCCGCCCATCTTATTGTCAGCTAAATTGGATAAATATTTAATGTTCAATTATTTAAGTGTGGGAGAGACATGCTTCAGCACGAATGGGCCGGCTCGAACGGAGTGATACCACGGCCTCACAGAAAACCGACGTGAAGCAACGGTTGCGATGTGTTTCGTCGTGTGAGTGAGGTTACTGGGGGCCCAATTACCCTCCCCTTCCCCAATCTCCCCAATTTCTGAATACCCAACGATCGTCAAACTCCTAATCCTCAAAAGGCCAGTAACGCACTTGTAACGCCTCTGGTGTTCCAGGTGTCCATGGGCGGCGCCGATTGCTTACCATCAGGTGATCGTTACTATGATCCGTCTGCTCGTTTACCGGCTTATGCCATAAAAAAATTTTTTGGGCGGAACAAAAAGATATCCCATTATAATCAAAATGTTTAATTGAGATAAGTGGGTGTTAACACGTATAATACATAGAATTATTGCGATGTATTTATATTTACTGCCTTACTATAGACTGCCTCGTTGGCCGAGTGGTCGCAAGTACGACTGCCGGGCAAGAGGTCTCGGGTTCGATTTCCGTGTCAGGCAAAGTATTGCTGAGTTTTTTAAATAAATCTCAGTTGTAGTACGGAGTCTGGAATTATGCCCGGTATATTACAATAGGCTCACCCCTATTACGTAGGACTCATAACATAAATATTGAAAAGTAGGTGTTACATTGCCCAGTAGCATTAAGTGGCGTAATGTGTTTCTCTGCATATCCCTTCGGGGGTAAAAGGCGTGATGTTAAGTTATGGTATTACATTTACTGAATACCTTCTCTCTACTCTACATGGTAATGTAGAGTTCATTTATAAATAGAATGTTAATGCTTGATTGTGCCTTGTAAGTTTTGATTATGAAACCTGATCTCTTAAGAGGTAGACAATTTTCGTTAGAAGTTGGAAAGGTCATGTTTACCTAATATACCTCTAAACGACTAGCTTCTGCTAGCGGCTTTACCTGCGTTCCCGTAAAATAAATAATAAACTATATGTTTTTCTGTACCATAATCTACACTTGTACCAAACTTCATCCTGATCCCTTCAGCTGTTTTGACGTGATTGCGTAACATACACACGAAATAAAATATTATATTTTACTAGCCGAGCCCGCGATTTCGTCCGCATGGAATAGTGATTCACAGCTCCTCCCCCGTAGTTGATAACATGATAATATGTAGCCTATATGTTGACCCGACCTGTTAGTAATATTCATGCAAATTTGAAGTAAATCCATGCAGCACTTTTTGGGTTCATCCCGGATATACATATAGACAAACAGACACAGAGCACAAATCCAAAAAAACATATTTTTGGTTTCGATATCGATTGTAGATTGCGCCCCAAGCATTCTTTTAAAAAATATTTGATGTACAGTTTTCACTTTCCTACGATTTTATTATATAAGAACATCACACCTTTTTATCACCGAAGGGGTAGGCAGATGTGCACCATACGGCACTTAATGGTTCTGTACAATGTAACACCCACTTTTCACTATTTATGTTATGAGTCCCATGTAATAGGCGGTGAGCCTATTGCCATATACTGGGCACATTTCCAGACTCCGTGCTACTAATGAGATTTTTAAAACCCAGTAATACTATATGTTTGTAATATTTTATTATATGTATTATATAATATTATTATATTATTAATAACTAAGATATGATAATATAGTTTTGTACAAAACTGTTGTTATATTCTGCCTGGTTTAAATAAATGGCTATTTGAAATGACACAGGAAAAAAGGTAGCCGTGAGGAAGACATCCCAACGCTGACGAAGATATATGAAACGAAACAAATTAAATCTGCAACCGAGACATCTGGTTGTCGTGACCTAAATTTGATCTGTCTCGCTAACGCAAACTCGGCTTTCTAGAAATAATTTAAAATATTTATATCAGGAATGGTTATTGTGAAACCTTATGGTGTAAGTTTTTCTGTGCTTTATTTTTTACCTGCGTTACAGTTCACTTTTGTCTAGTTAACATGCAATAGAATGTATTTAAAAATGATGACCACTGTTTTTATTAGATTTAAATTTAATCGCCTTGTTGCGTTTTATATTACCATTTTAATTTATAGGATGCGTTGTTTTTTAACAATAATTTTATAAGTTCGTTATTGGCTTGAAATCTTAATAACATTTTCTACAACAATCATTATTCTTTGAAGAAATAGAAGTTTAATAAAAATGTACTGTTAATGATTAAAAATAGGCTTAGGTATTATATTTTGGGTCCCCAAGAGTAATAGTAACTATAATTACTTATGATACTTAATTATATTTGGCGCTAAGCCATCGATCTCGTGAACTATGTCTAAAGAATTTGTTAAAGTCTGTAACACTAATTAATACGAAGACAGCTCAAAATATCAATTAATACTAATTGTTACTTACAAATTAAAATTATGCTGACAGCAACGATCATTATCTTTGAAATACAATTAAAATTCCAAGCATCAATTAATGAGAACATCAAAGTAAAAATTATCTACATAAACAGAATAGGTACTTTTGCGTTCACAAACAGTATTGTATAGTATGTGTAGATGAGACTCAGTTCGTGCTCAAAGCTAGAAGTTCTTAAGTTACAACGAACTGCAGGTCGATAGCGAATAGTTACAATTAATTTCTACTTTGTAACCTGTCAGATACAAATGGTGTAGAGCGGTTTAGTAGAAAATTTCTATAATTTTTTATCGTTTAGCTTACAACGGTTAATGTGAGTTAAATGGTTTTGTTGATGAGGTCATTGTTGTTGATATATTTACTATTATTTTGTGTCTGAGATAAGTTTTAAAGTGTTATCGTGATTTTAGTTTTTTTTATACTGCTAGTGGCGTTATACAGGGTGAATTGTATCTCGACTTTGATTTGTATTTCTCTTGGGATATGATAATACAATTAATTTCCTACAAAAATAACCCCGAAGTCTCTGGTCCGAAAGTGACTAGTTTCACCTTGTATACTTTCACGCATTGTGAAATAAATCTCAACTCTACATTTGTCAATACATATAAAATATAATCAGAATATTATCTTATACTATTATAATATAAAATAAACTATTATACAGAGCTAAAGAGTTTGATTGAACACATTAATCTCAGGAACTACTGGCCTGATTTGAAAAATTATATTTGTGTTGGATAGCCCATTCATCGAGGAAGTCTATAGGCTATAAAACATCGCGCTACAATCAATAGGAGCCGAGCAGAGCGGGTGAAACCGCACGGCAAAAAATTCAGATAGGTATTTATGAATAGTTTCGCTTCTTAGATTAAAGTTTCAGCACTATTCATTGCACAGACGTATACCTACGTGCACACCTACAAACAATTCCAATTACCGCAAAGTGTCACGTGGGAAATAACATCAGTGATGTGAGGTATGACACGCCTGCTCGTCTGCGGCGGCAAGTTCCGCCATTGCCAACTAGAGTCCCGATTAATAATGCAACTCAACTTACTTATACACATCGCTACCCATCGAACTATACAAAACCATTGTATCATGTAAGTCTGGGAAAACCATGTTTGGGTATGAACGAGCCGGCTCGACCGATAGTGATACCACGGCCTCGCAGAAAACCGACGTGAAACAACGCATGCGTTGTGATTCGCCGTGTGAATGAGGTTACCAGAGGCCCAATTACCGCCCTCTCCAATCTCCCTAATTCCCCAATAATTCTAAAATTTCTAACCCCCTGAAGGGCTAGCAACGCGCTTGTAACGCCTCTCGTGTTTCAGGTGTCAATGGGCGGCGATGATTGCTTACCATCTGGTGATTCGTCGGCTCGTTTTCCGGCTTATTCCATAAACAAGTAATGGTCTCGATTTATGATCTGTTTACACAGTCAACGGTTTATCACACCAGTTTATACTGGTTTTGCATAGTTTCATGTGAATTGTGTATCAACTCCTAAGTATATCAATTCCAAACTTTACCAATTCCTTGTTACGAGTTTTTTAACCTTGGAAATTGTTAGGACGGTTCATGTAAAATACGTTTGTCATGCAAAGTTTCCATTATGATGGTGACTGTACACGTGAATCATGTTGTAGTATCTGCTTTATTTACTTTAAATTGGTTAGGTTACGTTGATTGATCACAAAGTGACTAGGCGTGTTCTATACATTTACATTCAGACATTCTATTTAAATACTGGCAATTTTCCTCATACACAGAAAACTGGTCCAGAATTTTAGATTACATTTCGGAGTCTTCCGTGGCTACAAAGCGGTACTACGAAAGTTGCTACGAAGTATTTCTCGTAGCGCGCTACGTGCTACGATTCGTAGCCGTACGACGAGAGTATGGTAACTTTGTTTTGCAATACAATGTAGGTTGAAACTTTTTGTACAGCAGTTTTATAACAATCTTAAACACAACTAAAGAATACTGATGAGAATGCTTCGGTGTTGAATAAGATATTAAATTATTAAAAGACAAACCTTTGCGACTTTCTCGTCGAGTAGCCATTGCAGGGCCGTATTGGAAGCGTTGGCGAGAGCAGCCAATGCGGCGTGCTCCCACACCACATGCTCCCAATGCTCTGTCATGATGGCTGCGCACAGCATCGCCGTCGAGCAGCTGCAACAGAAAAAAACAAATTGATTCCAACACCTACACTCCACGAACAAAGACCTATATCACAAAAAGGAGGACATTTTTACGCCCTGAATATCCGAGTGACAGCAAAGTTGATCCTCTCGTAAATCAGGTCCAATCCTAGCCATTAATCAAACACGGATTAAATCCTGACCTGAATAACTGACAACTTAGCAAAGAAAACCGACACAGGACCTTTTCATGCGATCGATTGAGCTCGAAGCAAAAATCTGTGAGAGCGCGAACGTGTAAATTGTAGGTGTACATTACCTACTTATCTATCTATTAATATTTAAAACTGAAGTGTTTGTAAGCTTCTTTGTTTGTTTTGCGCTAATCTCCAGAACTACTGGTTCGAACTGAATAATTATTTTTGTGTTGGATAGTCCATTTTAATGAAGGCTATTTGTTCAAATATCACGCACGATCAAAAGGAGTCGAACAGTGGTTGAAAACGGGCAGGGAAGTAGTTAGTATAAACATTCATTTACGCCGGTGCACAATTTTGCAAACGTTTCTTATTCATAGTTGCTAAAATTTAAAGAAAATGTTTTATAAGAAATAGCTGCAAAATAGTAAATCCTTTATATAAAATGGAACACGTATGAGCGATGCATTATAGTTTTCTTTGCCAGTGAAGCGCTCTCTAAGCGATGCGCTTAGGAATCGCTTAAGCTTGCTTGCTTCGTCTTCAATCACTAGCTTCTAGAACATCTGGCAAAAGTATCGTGAGTCTAGAAACAAATGGCTTCGTTTCGAAGATAAATGGTGTGCAAAATGCGAAGTGCTGTAATTTGTCGACAATCGTATCAAATTACTTGTATTTTTTGGAAAAGACTTTATTATTAATTTAAGACAATGGGTTTCTATATTGACAGGTCTTAAATTATATCATTCATACATATTACACAAGATTAAATTAGGTTTAGAGAAGACGAATTGTTTTAAAAATAACTTCTCTCTCTCGGGGAAAGTAAGTTGAGTTGAATCACCTTTTACAAAAATTCTATTTGTCATAAAATAAAAAAAAACAACAAGAAAAATTTCGCCAAGAGAAAAGTCAAAGCAATTGGTATAAGTTTGAAGATGTTTCGAAATTCACTAGACTCAAGTTTTACTGGATAAAGTTTATAGCGGCTGCGCGTGCATATTTTATTAGACTGGGGAGAAAACGACTATAAAACTGGTTGAATTTAAACGTCAATTCTGCTTTATGTAGGGAAACTCGCATTTAATTTGGTTCCATCGTCAGAATATGGGACCTTTAATATCAAAGACGTGGGCTGAATCCGAAATCCGTGAAAGACGTCTCAAAGGGGACCTTACAACGGTTTTGGGGTTGAACTAATAAATATTATATTAAACAATGTGACAATTCAAGAAATTTGTTTAATCTTAGACCTTACATTGTGCATACATATTACAAGACAAGTATTTTAAGTCTATGTATTCTTTTTAACACTTAAAACGCTGTACAGTTTATCTGAATAAGGTTTGAGTACAGCAATAAATCCTCAAGTATACAGACTACATGTCATAAAATTCATGGTTTTATTTATCTCAGCTGTCGACATTTTTATCTAGGTTAAGTTATGAGTAGGTAGACATGAGTACTTTCATGTACGGGTCGATAGCTTTCCGGTGCATCGAAATAGGCTAAAAAAAGTAGAGTGTCACAGAAATTATTTGATAAAAACCCGCCACCGCTGGGAAATGTCGAACATTTTTACGAATGGCTTTTGTACCTAATATAATTTTATTTGGCAAATGTCCAGAATTTATTGTTGAGTTTTGTATTATTTTGCATCGGACATATCGCAGTGTTATGTAGAAATCATGTTATAAGCTAGTTGTACATCAATGTTAGTTATTTTTTCAGTGTTTATTATTCTATTTCAACCTTAATTTCACCTTCAATATTAATTTAGTGAGAAATACATTTTTTTTAAGAGGGGAACATCATCGAATCGCTGCTCCCGCCTGGGTGAGGCGGGAGTGTCAGACTCTTACTGACTAAAAACTTCGAGCCGGAGCCTCGATAACCCGTTAAGTTCTCCGCGGCTCCGTAGTGAGGAATACAATAAGATACTAAATTGGTATTATAGTAATAGTACCTATACCTACTCAATATAAACAAATTACTTCGTCAGTTTTACCTTGAGCAATATTGCCAATAGAGAATGATATTTAACGAATATTTTTATAGCTCCAATAACAATTCCTTTCTTCGTAGAATACTTCAGAAATAATTGCCAGTTGAACCTTGGGCGTTCTAGGACAGAAAATCAATTAATTTTAAGCTATAGTTTATAATCGAATTGGATGTTATAATTTATTCCATTAATATTAATCGAAAACTTTGGTATCTGAAGAATTTTGAACGTAGTGCCATTTAGGTACTTTCAATGAGGTATCTGTTAAATCGTTCAAAAGTTAAATGGTTGTATATATTATTTATTTATTTGGAATGTGCCAAAGTTTGAAGTATAGATGATTTTCCCCCCCTAAAAAAAAGCATGTATTAACGTAGGCAGAAAGTACATGTCGCATCATTTTCAAATTGTGACTGTTATTTCGGAAACATTACTATTATCTGTGGGTGTTACGCGTAGGCATTAAAAAAAACAACCGCAGAATATGATTCAAAGCGATTTATACAAAGGGTATCAGAAAAATGTTATTAAGCATTAAAAAGATTATGTTGTCAACCTGTCTGTTCCAGGGATTTATGTTCTTAATTCTAATAGATAGTACATATATACAAAACATGTTTATCGTCGTACATAACTTTGTCTACGAGTCGTACTTAGACAGTTTGTTGTATAAATCTACTAAGTTAGTATAAGACATATTTTCTTTCTTTAGAAAACAGCTGGAATAAGAACATTCAATGAAAGAAAGGCAATTAAAAGTTTTCAAGTAAAAGAGATAAGTAGCTACTTATCGTTGAAGTATTACATAATAGAGTGGTTGCCTTGCTTTGACGTTTCAATTATTGTACCTACTCGTGTTGTAGAATAATATATAGCGCAATGAGTAGTTTCATAAAGTGGAGCTCAAGTTATACTGACACCTCTGCCTTGAGATCTTTGTGCTTGAGACGAACAAAGACATTAATGAAGCAATCAACATTTGTGGAATTCTATTCTCAGAGGCGCTCTCAGCTCGGATTTCAGGTTTGTACCTACTCACTTTATGACTATGGTATTTTCCTAATAATCCTGAATGTGGATTTGTATATTAAGTATAGGTACTTGCATATGTACATTTTGGATTGCTTAAAGATTTATCCTTCAGATGGCGATAATCTGTATGTTCAGATATTATTGTTTTATTTGTTCTATTATTAAGTAGGTACTGTGAAGTTTCTGCCAGCGGCTTCGCTCGCGTTGCTGTGCTGTGGGATGAAAAGTGGCTCATTTGTTAATCCAGAACATAATTTACCACTATTCCAAATTGCATTCGGATCAGCCATTTTCATATGATTAAGTAACAAAAATAAACACAAACTCACTCACAAACATTTCTAATATAAGATGAACTCAATAAGTGTACGTTATAGATTTTAGGAATAGCTACTTATATAAAGTTGTCTAAAACTAAAACATTCAGTTTCCTCAAACTTTAAAATAACGTTGTAAATCTATATTCAAAGGAAGTGAACCGATAACGCTACTCCGTCATAAATGTCGTTTTGAACTTCCTTCAACGGAGAGTTTCGTTAAACTTTCCTGGCAACCTCTCTGAAAAGTTACATAATATGAAATTTTCAGCGTTACATCCATGTCGCTGTATCGCAGAGGAAAATGGAAACCGCTATCATAAGTTTGAGACGCTCACTGCAGAGAATCTACCGCATTAACATCTGGACTTGTCCAATAAAATTAAAAATAAAATTGACTATTTTATCTTCATGACAGTTGTATAATTTTGTGTAAAACATTATCAAGTTACTTTATATTGTAGAAGTTCCAACTTCTGAATCTGACAAACTTGTGTTATAAATGCGCTTATGACAAGTTTTAAGACAAGAACGTAATGATGCGTCATTACTAGAGAATTGAAGATCATACCACGATCTGAATATTGTATAACTATGTGTACATGAATATATCTGTGAATATACTTTGTATAATTTATGTTTAATAAAACAAATACATCTAATTATATATAGACTAAAATAGACTAGCTATAAAATGAACGAATGTTACTAGAAAAGATAACTAGAACGATCTGCATAAGCTAATGAAGAAAGCCACAAAGGACTTGTTATGGCTGTTTTATTTCCACCTATAACTGCAAGAAATTAGCCCGCATTGTAACTACATGCCGAGTCTGACTTCACACGTACACAAACCCAGACGGGGTTACTAGTAGAGATGTTATTATATTTCGAATCTAGATACGGATAAAGATATATGAAACGACTGCCTCATTAGCCGAGTGGTCGCAAGTGCGACTGCCGGGAACCGAACCCGAAACCCCTTGCCCGGCGGCAAGGGGTTTCGGGTTCGATTCCCGGGTCGGGCAAAGTATTACTGGCTTTTAAAAAATCTCAGTAATAGCACAGGGTCTGGAAACGTGCCCGGTATATGGCAATATACTCACCCACTATTACATGGGACTCATAATATAAATAGTGAAAAGTGGGTGTTAGATTGTACTGTACAAGTGGCATTAAGTGCCGTAATGTGCACCTCTGCCTACCCCTTCGGGGATAAAAGGCGTGATGTTACGATGTTATGTATATATGAAACAATCGGTTTAAAATGCGGTTAGGGATATATATTTTTCAGCTTAACATTTAATTTCGATTACAGATATGAGATTGAAGTAGAATATAAATGCAAGTAGTGTAGAATAAGAAACATGTCGTTTTGTTTAGATTCTACCTTTATATGCCGCAGTTCGTAACTTGTTTAACGGATACGGTTTCGGTTCGAAATGTTCAGTTTCGGATCTCGATAACATCCCTGATTTTG